TCTTTTGCACAAATAGGAGATTTTAGAAGGAATTTTGAATATATTATCTACGTCTTCATGTTCCTTTCCTCAAAGGTATTTTATAATTAATATCATAAAGAATGCCAAAGTTTTTAACGTGTACCGTGTGCAAGTAATCTAATGCGACAAATACCCTCACGGTGGGCAAACTTGCAACTGCCATTTATGATCATAAAATAATTTTATATCTCGAAAGCTAAAAATTTTTAATAAAAATTGGTACATAACTGCTTTAATTTATCAAATGTGAAATAACTCCGAAACACTAAATATGCTCAGAGTAGGTGCTCTGATACACTCTGATACATCAGGGAAATTTGATGATTACAAAGGTTAATAGTCTACACTCAGGCGACTTCAATGCAATCCTATTGTTGTACTGCAGGATTCAAACCTTTAAGTACGGCAGCGCCCACTTTGATCGTAGCTTCAGTGAGTAAAGGCATAACACTTGTCGATCCATTAAGTTGCGGCCACCTCTGTACCTCTTATTCCTTCCTAACTTATTTTTAACCATCACCGTGTTGCACATGTAGTAGATACCATCCCCTGAGTCATGTTAAATAAAACAAAGGGAAAGCGCAAATAAACGGTAACAAAATGTTAAATGCTTGGTCTAGTGGAGCTTCAAAAGAACTTCTTTACCTAACACTTCAATCGAGTCTGATTTCATGTTCACGTTTATAAAGATTAAATACACTGAGACATTCGACTTAATTAAGCAATAATTGCAAAATTGTAGACTTGCTTACGGCATTATGAACAAAAATTAGATAAAAAGAAATGAAAAGTAAAAGACACATGTCTACATACATTAAAAGTTGAGTAAGGAAATGTAGATAATGAGAAAATTTGTAAAGCTTAGTTTAAGCGCAACGATGGATCAGAATGGATAAGTAAACCAAGAGAGAAGTAGAATGCCGAGTACAACTCACGAAATGCATGGAATAAAGATTACAATAAGATAACAAAGTAAACAAACCTTGGATGGGTTAAGCAATTCATAGCTGCAATGGCTAAGTCTTAGCTATTTAAAGTTTCTAGATATTCTGGTAGAAAAATCCGACCTTAGAAAAGCTGACGAGTCGACAATTTCATTGAACAGATTTATGAGAAAGGAAATGCCAAAAATAGATGTCCCTCAGAAAAAGCAAGTTGATAAACGACTGCCTTTGTAAGATAGCAAGAGACCTGCAGTATTTCACTCACAATTCCATAGATAAAATAAATCGGCTCTAGCAGATTCTATACACCAACGACCATACGACAATACTCATCCAACCGTTGGGTATCTCGGTAAGGGGTTTCCCCCAAGGAGGTGCAAAGCATCTTACACGACACAAAGACCATCGATTTATAAAATGATGAAAGCGACCGCGCTTCGCTTTGGTTTCAGCAGTCTCAATATATACATTGAAGCGGAATGCACTAACAAAGAGAATATTAAGGTCGAGAAATGAATATTATAATTAATATTGTGTCGTATACGCCCGATTTTTTTTAACCTCATTATATCAGCTAAAACTTTCCCTTTAATAAGACGTATGAATACTTTAAAATAATTTAATTTGTTTTTCATATTTACAGAGTTACGTCAGAGTTAAAAATAAATACACACAATGTAAAGATAAAATAAAATATATTTTCTCATAATTCAAGCTGCACATGCATTACACCTTAAACCAATCAGCTCAACTAAGCACCATCATCATGCCGTGCTACAGTGGATACCACCATGGAAAGCAATAACATTGTTTTTTTTTTTTTTTATTTTTCTTTTTTTGCCATAATTTATTTATGTGCCGTATCTCTATTGCCCGCCATAAGCGAAAACATAGGAAAAACATAATAAATAAAAAATAGTTTTAAAAAAATAATCAACATTTTGAGAGCTCTAAACAAATTATAAGTAAATGACTTGTTTTCCCTTTCCTTGCTTTTTTTTTTTTTTGCGAAAAAAAAATGAAAATAAACTCTATGTCAATTATAACAAGCGGCACAGAGATGGGTTTCAACACTTTACTCCGGTCATTCAACTCTACGTATTAAAATTGGCCTAATTTGTTTCGGCTACATAAATACACATACACACATGTATAAGCGTTTATGCACGTACATGTATGTCTCTTACTGGTATGTAATTAGTTTAAGAAAAGCAAAGACCAAGTAAGTTAATACTAGCGGTAAACAGCTATTCATTATATTGAGACAACGCATACAAATGTATTCTTATTACACGTACCAGTCACATATATATATATATATATATATGAAGTCAAAACATGTGCCGACTGTCTCAGGAGAATATTTTATGTAAAAAGAACAAATACTGCGGGCATTATAATATTTTCTAAGAATAATGAGTGCACGCGCGCATTCGAATAAACGAAGTGAAGCGAAATTATTCTTGAATACCTTCCGTTATACTTGTAAATAGAACTGACCGTAGTGTAGTGTCTTTGAAAAGTCGAAGTCTATGCAATTTTAACGACATAATTGCCTTGATTGCATGAGATATTCGAAAATTTTTGATAGAACTCGCGTTACGAAAGCGAAACCCAAACTGAACCCGAACATGTGAATACAATACATACATACGTACATAGTGAATCTTCGAAAGGGGTTTTTCACGTGTTACAAATAGAATAAAAAATTTATTATCTTCATACGTTAATAGCGCGATGAAAACTTATTCACAAGAAAGCCAAAGAGTTATATGCAGTACAACCAAAAGATAGACATAACACAATGTATAAGTCTTACATATATAAATGTATTTAAGATGTTATTGACCTGTGCTACGTGTTTTTAAAGGATAACAGAGAAGAAAACCATATCCACCATAATCCCCAAGTAAATAAACAGTGCGTGCTTTTCATTAATTGCGTCTGCGCTAGAATAGGCCGAGCTTTACAATGTTTTGTACCTAATTATAAATTTGTATTGTCCGCAATAGATTCCAAGTTCTTGACATGCATTTTTCACATTTTACAGTTTGTGGCTGACCAGCAGCATTTTAAAATTTTCCTCACAGACACAAAAAAACTTTTGGGAATCGACATATATTCATTGAGCAGGAAAGTTACATGACCGTCTGTAGAAGCAGCTCAAAATGATGCAAACTATTAGTCATAATAAGCGCGGATTATTTAAAATCTACTAAAATATAGAAAACAAGTGTAAAAAGTGGGATTTTAACACTGGAATCACTGAGTGGATTTTATTGCCAATCTTGGTGTAGGCTTGATTGGGTTCAAAATTCTGCCGCAAGGGAAAAATTTAGTCTTGTTTGTAATTACTTTTGAAATTTCTTTTTATGATCTTTGTCTTCTAGTATTCATGTCTCCCGTAAAACTTTTGCCTAATCTTCGTTCACTGAAAATATGTGTTTGTTAATTTTATGCCGAGTTGCTATGTATAGAGGCACATAACACCATGAATTTGAAATTTACTTAATTTTGCTTAAAATATGCAAGTGCGGAGAGTAAGTAAGTGTTCTTTCTTAAAGGCAGATATGATATAATGAATAATGATTAATTAATGCTTGCACTTGCAGCGCTTTTCCTTGCTGGGTGTACAAAGCAGTCTCGGTTGGGGCTTTGCAAATTTATGGTTTTGCTTCCAAAATAATATTTCATACAAGAAGTTAGAAGATAGTAATATCCTACGGCAGAATTTTTTATGCTTATCACCAAAAAAAAGAAGAGAAAACTAAATTTCCTATTGGATCGAGGGATATTTCTCACTTTTTTAGAATATGCATGGAAATGCCTATTGTGCGTTGATTGTAGTATATGAGTAACAAGCAATACAAGCAACGAAAACAAAGATTTTCTTAGTCTATCTTGGATGGTAGGCGTGTCTTTGCTCGATTTGCCCCATCATGTGATGCAATATTGCTGTCAATGTTTCTGCCAAAATAGAGACCGATAGCTTCATTTTTATGCTCAGAACAGTATTTTCCCCAAGCCTTACACAAAACAGCAGACGGATGGACAGACATGCTTAAAACATATTAAAATTTGATTTTATAGTTCGCTGAAGCTTTCTCCGGGGTATTGCATACGCTCTGACAAGACGACCTTTATCTCTTCCTTCAATTGTGGTTTAGATGCGAAAAGATGTGTAATTTTAAATCTCAAGTCAATGGTAAAATTTTTGTCATGATTACAAGACATATTTTACAATATATAATTAGTGAAGTTGGGATCCCTTCCCATGCCCTGCATTCAAAATATTATTTGCACATCATCTTTTCACACACACTTAAGGTTGACGACTTGAAAGACATCAATTTTTTCGTTTAGCTAGAGAATAAGAGAATTTGATGTATTTCGGCATTTATTATTAATTTTATACACTTTAAGTTATAATTTATTCATTAAGCCATAATTTAATTCTGAAAATAATTGTCATAAATAATTTATGCGTAATAAGAGAGACAGTGTAGTGATTTTTTTAAACGTTATCCAAATCTGTCGGTCTATATATAAATAAACAACGATTACAAAACTTTACTTCTTTTTTAGCCAATTAAAACACTTTAACATATAATTAAAAGTTATATTTAATGATTTTTAAATGCAAATGAATTTATTTATTATTTTTTTTCTTCGCTTATATACTCGACCATTACTTAGGCAATTTATGTGCGAAAAAAGTAATTAAATTGCTTTAATGTAAGCCGCAATTTAATTAAATTTATTAAAACTTGAAAAAAAAAAAAAAAAAAATAGAAAATGTATTTAAGAACACACATTGTCAAAAAAGAAAAAAAAAAAAAACAATTAACACTTAATGTCCTGTTTGTTTGTTTAAAGGGTAAGTTGATAAGCGTAGGAATGAAATTCAAGCTTAATGTTTAGATTCGCACTCGTGAAACCCTTTTTGCATTATGCACGAATACCTGCAATTAGAAACTAGAACACATCTCTCATATTGGCTGGGCCATGAATGAGAAACGCATTTCACACACTAACCTGTTGTCGTCAGGCATAAAGCGGTTAGTAAGAGAAAGGCGTATATAAAACAAGAATTTGACATGTTTTTGTTTTTTTTTTTAACCGAATTTTTTTTCCTCTTCGTGATTGTCGTATGCGCTTTTATTTAATTTGTTTTTTTTTTTTTGTATTTTAAAACAGATTTTAATACACGTCACGTTTTTTCAATTGGAAAAATCAAAAAAAATTAAATAAATTTATTCTCAATTTACTTTCTTGTCACACGATTTTGCTTTATCTGATTTCAAGCCCGCCAAATTTCTTTTCTTTTATTAGCCCGAATGCTATAATATTTTTTTTTCGCTTTTTTTTCCCCCTCGGTTATTATTATCTTTTATTTTTATTTAAAAAATATTTTTTTTCGTAGCATTTACGAGTGAGTTCGCGATATCACTTGTTTGTTTGGCATCTGAAAATGAACTAAATGAAAAGCGACGTTATAACATAAGTGCAATGATATGTGAATATGTGCAGGAACGTATGATTTGAAGCATAAACGACACGCCATATAAACGATTTATCCGCACGATGTATGCTTGTGCAGTTGGCTTTGTTGTTGGTTTCTATGTATAACGAAGAGAATTTAAATACTTACACACAAAAAGCAATGATAGTTTAGTTTAAGTCACCGCAAGCTTAAAGCTAAACACACACAATGGAGTATAAAGTGTTGTTTAGAGAAAAATGATCGTAAAACTACTACTACTACATGCATGCATGCATCCATGCACATATGAACACACATGAGGGGTTAATTCACCCACACAACAGCATATCCATAAGTGAGTATATATTGTAAAACTTTTTTATTGCGTTTATTATTTTCGAGTTGAAGTTTGAATCTTTAGAGGCTATTTATGCTAATGAAAAATTACAACGATTCTAGGAATGAAACCAAACAATAAAAAGCAAACTAACAATAAATCAGTACACGAATAAATATTTCTCAAAAAAAATTACAAATAATCGTTATATACAACATCCAAAGAAAGGCGTGACAGTAACTTTGTCATTGCATTTGCAACACTTGGAAACAAAAATTGAATGTCTTATGCCTATAGGGAACAAGATCCCGAGCAGGTCAAGTAACAGGTCAAGATCTATGTATACTCTTTTGACGCCCAACCACGAGTGCATAGCGATGCCTTCATTTTGCTGAGCAGATTCCGCAAATTTGATGAGCTCTGTATTTTCATTATGAACCGAAAATGCTCAGTAAAACCCCATTTCGCCTTATTAATGCAATCGTGATCACAAAAATTGCAATAGAGCTACGAAATTTGATATTTATGAGGCATGTAGAAGTGAAACCGAAATTTGGCCATAGAAGCGCTTAACGCCTCGTGTAAAGGACGTACATGTTTGGAGCTGTTTTTTTTTTTTTCGTAGCCAGGACATCTTACAACAATAAGCAATCGTAATACCAACACATACAGGACGAAAACAAAAAAAGTCGGGCTTTGTGCCAATGGAAGAATATTCGCTGATGGCAGTTTTTTCTTTGCCCCAACGATGCAAGGATAAGACGGGTTTGTATGGTCCCGTTACTGGGTATAAAAAGTCGATTTCTTTTGCAAATGCCAAAGACAAAAATTCTCGGATACATCTACGCCTATCATACACCTCTATTAAAAGACGGTACTCTGCGTTTAGTGGAATCAGTAGGATGTGGTTTGCTTATCTCCGCTACTAAACACCAATCAATCTGATGCCGCATAGTTCAGTAGGTGAATTTGCGACTGCCAAGCCGCGGGTTCTCGAATATCAGTGCAGTAGACAAGACCTTAACTATAGTAAGTATATAAACACATGGTGGTGATTACCACATAGCCTTTAATACTTTAATGCCTCCTCTAATATTTTACACTGGTTACTTTACCTTTGCTGCTTGCTTTTCTGATAGATATTCTCTTTGATATATAAAAAAGTCCTGGTTTTTTAACTCTTAAGTTCGCTTTGCTGATACTTTAAGCCTAAAAACATTCTAAACAAAAACTTGTCTTTGGCTTTTAACACTTAAAAGCTGATAATTTTAGCTGTGCTTCAATGCTTTTCTCTCTAATTGTGTTGTTTAAAGTGCTTTTAGCCTTAAGAGCTTCGCTTAATATGGCTGAACGGGTTATTTTGGCTGGAGATGAATGAAATAAATAAATAAATAAAAGGAAACAAACCGTTCGTTATTCAAAAAGCAGTTAAGAGCGTCAACAAAACCAACATGAGGGCACTTTTTTCCGCACATCATTCGCCTGTGCATTCATTGCAACAGACCGGCTCGGGGCACCGTCTACTGGGAATTGCCAGGCCATGCAGCTAACTTACTTATAAGCTTCGAGAACTTTCGGCTCGATTATCAACTATCAACTATTTGGATCACCGAGTTGCGTACCTATTAACCAGGACTTTGGTTCATACCAAGATGTAACAAAAGCTATGCGATGGATGGATGGCGCCGAAAGGGGAAGACTTTTAAAACCCGAATTCCAGATACAATGAGACAGGTTGGGAAAATGTATATCTATTGATGGGCAATGAGTCGAATCAAATATTTTTTTAACATTTTCAGACAATAAATGTGTATTTTCTATCCAATTTCATATTTACATGCCGGGCAAGAACGCCGACAATAGCCAACAAATGAAAATATTAAACCAATTGCGTAAAAGCTATAATAGAGAATAATTCCAAAATTGAGATTTGAGCAGAGATCCTAAAAAACTTTGCATTGAGTGAATTGTGAGGGGTTTTTAAATTTAAGCAAATATTTAGTAAAAATTTTAAATTCAAGTTGATTGCAATATTCGTGAAAAAATTTCATAAAGATCCGATTTGTGTTGTGCACTCATCATCGATGGAAGATGATGCTCTGCCACGCCAGCTATTGCAGTTGTAATAATCAGAAAAAAAAACATCCAAGTTTTTGTAAAATATTTATGTGCGACTTTACTTGAATATTGCTCAAAGTGTAATTTACAACATAAATATTTCTATGTATGCGTGAACGAATGTTCTCCGCTGTGTTCTTCTACTAACAACCGTTATGTTTATCAGGCAAACTTATCTTTCCTTTCGCACATCATTGTTGTGAAATTCTAAAAAAGTTGAAAATAGAAAATCGAAACTTCACCGATATGTGTTCATTGTTCGTTCGGGATTCATTCTAAAAATGGAAGCAATTTATAGTAAAAACTTTAAAAGCATTCGCAATCGGAATAAATTGTGTGTTCACCAAAATGTAGAAGATCTCATTGTGAAGATTTTTGAAGAGAAAGATTTGCCAGCATCAGGGCCATGAATCATGAGTGACACGCGTCTGCAGTTAACTAAAAATTTTTACTAAAAGTTTTCGCTAACTAACAGTGTGTTAACGTCAGTTGTGCGGAATCTTCTCGCATATCTTTAGCTGACGAAAAATTGCAAATCTTCATTTATGTATTCGCACTCGAAGTCGTAGAATACAGCTTTGCTACTTTGTAAACATCTTCCTTATTGAAATCAATCCACGGCTAACTTGATGTGATGATGAAAAAATCTTCTCTTCGAGGAATAAATTGTTAAATGAAATTCAGTTTACTCGCGCCGCAATGATGATGGATTAGCAGAAAAGGAATTTCGCTTATACAAATTAAAGGAAAACTGAAATTATGAGAATAAAGGTTCACCCATTCACTACTACTAGATGGGCAAAAAAAAAAAAAGAAGAGATTTGGATTTCAATTTTTGTCTCGCAATTGATTGCTAAAGTATAGATATTTGTTTCTTTCGCAAACATCAACTTTAACATTTTTAAATTCCTTTCCGAAATCTTTTCTAGTCAACCCTATATATGTTCTCATAAATATAGCATAAGTCTGCGTAAGTGTTCGCCCAATTTAAGAAACATTGCTCCTGGAGGTATAATTTTATTTCACTGCAGTAGTGAAACGTCATCATGTCCTCATATGGTATGTATAGGGAACACTGAACTTGCTATTTAGTGCAATCTTTGCTGTTATTGCATTTTATGTTGTTGTTGTCATGTTATTTTGTTTTTGTCTTGTTCATTTTTTTTTTTTTTTCATTTTTTTGCACATATGTATCTTTTCAGCGATAGATTAGTTTATATGCTTTTCTTCATAAAAACAATCTTACTTGAAGGAAAATAGATTCAAAGTATTTTTTTCTATTTTGTTGTAGATTTTCCTCAAAAAAAAAAATAAAAAAATTCTATTTTTACTTTATTCGTAAAATAAGACATTTCTTTTCACTTTTCTTTAAAGACAATTTTAATGCTTTCTTTTTACTGAGCAAATTTATTGTACATGTACACTTGGTAAGCAAAAAATTTATTTCTTGAAATATGCATATGTGGGGGTGTAGAAAAGCAGAAAAGCATCGTGAATGCTTTTTGAAGAATTTACGACAAATAGATTTAAGTAATTTGTGTAAAATTTACAAGCAAAAAACAAGAAAAAACATTGTAGTAGGCCGTGGCATACCATTAAATACCCTACACCTATTCGCTTAATATATTTGGTCATATAACAACTTTTTTAAAATAAGCCATTATGAGGGAAGTGGTCGAAAAAGTGTACCTATTCGAACCATTTTCAATAGTGCTTGCCCTTGGGACACAATACTTCGATGTACCAAAGCATCTGATAACTTGCAACCAAAATAGGATAACGATAATACATGATGGGCCGATGGACAGGCGGACAGACAAGCTTAGATCGATTCAGAAAGTAACTCTGTATTGATCGGTGTAATAAAAAGTGGGCCTATCTCATGGTCTTTCTGGGCGTCAAACTTAATATATTTGTGTATCACAAGTTACGTAGGATATTAAAATAATTGAAAAAAATAAGAATAAAGAAAACCGCATTCCAATCTTGGAAATATTCAGAGCATTTTATTTGTTGTTGTCGCTTTGTCGCCAAATTAAGTATTTTTGGGGTAATCTGCACGATTTTTACAATAAAAATAATTCTAGAACATGGAACCCATAGCGGTTTTTTCGTACGGCATCTTGTTGACATACTTTTCTTTTAAAATTGCAGCATTTTTCGTGTATTCATCCACCGAAAGATGGAATTTATTATGTCAAACCGTCTTACCCTCGGAGAGCAACACTTGCACGAAAACTTGCACTTGATACCTTACGCGAAAACATTAAAAGTTCTCTTTACATATGTTGATTGAAACCTAATTTCGACTTTCTTAAGCCGATTTAGCATTTTCAAGATGTCTGCATCTCAACCTATAGGTATATCGCCCAATCAAATTCTGGTTCCTAATGTAGGTAGTGGATCTGTTTTGTTATTGTAGCTAGAAGTAACTTTTAGTAAAATAAGCCATTCCCAGAGATGGATGTCGAAGTAGTAACGCAGTAATCCCTCAATCTACGGATAGTTAGGTTATTACTCAGGCTAAAATCTAAAATGCTTTCTACTTACCTTGATTCAGCAAGCACAGAAGTTTCTTGTGGAAACTTGCTTACAACCTGATAAGCATTTCTACATTTTCCCAACAGCTTCCACATTTTCAGAACGGATAGATTAAATCGAATTGGCGGAACTACCTCGCCATCCCACTTACTAGAATTTTCAGTTCTTCTGAAGTTGAATTCGTTACCACTCGAGCAAAAATTGCTAAGAAAAATATATTTTTAACTTGTGCAGTGAAATAAATGTGCAAACATAGAAAAAACTCGAGTCCTCTTTGCTATTAAGAGAACGGCAATAAAAAATTCGGGTACAGCCGAATATAATTTTCCAATTTTTTTTTTTTTTAATTTCTTTGCCAAAATATATCACTTGACGTTGATTGAACATGTTTGCAAACTTTTTCTAACAAATCAATTTATTTCGCGCCAACTTTGCATGCGTTATTATAGTTATCCCAACACGCACCGCGTGTCTGCGCTCTGCGGAATTACTACTGTCTGCGACTTGACGCATGAGAAACTTGAAGCAAGTTGAACTGTAACCGAAATATGGTCTCAACAAGACCGAGCCATATATCACATATAGGAAAACAATCAATTAATTTTTTGGGAACAAAGTTCGGTGAGACATAATCCCAAAGAAATTCTCCATATTACGAAGTTTCGCAGTTGTTTAACTGCAAATTAATCAAAACTAGTTGCTGGATGTTTTAACTTTGCATTTTAAATCTTGAAATTTCAAGATGTTACCAAAAGCAGGCAGATGGATTACACAAGATTAAACGAAAGGTTAAACAACGGCCTATTCATTTCCGTTCAACTCACATGGCTAAAAAACATATATAGACTTTTGGTTATCCTTTCCGAATATTACACTTGCCATGACAAGGTTAATATACCTTCATTTTTCGATAACTGTTATGTACGAAAAATAGGAAAACTACGTTAAAGAAATATTTTTTATGAAACTCAAGACTCGTGAACTCATAATGAAAGAAATATTTACCTACTTCTATATTTTTGTGCTTGCCGCCAGCAGATAGACCTATGTTACGTTTTTAAGTTCCTACGGAAGACCCATAGATAAGCATTAAAGATCATATCATATATGCATAAATCGTATAAAATATTCTCCGTTCTGTCTCCACATTCTTCTAACTTCATCTGTTGTTGCCTTTCGCAAGATTAAAAAAGAATTTGTCAAAGCTTGTTATTAAATATATTTTTCGATTAATGCAGCCGATCAATTTTCATTAAAAAAAAAAAAATAAACAAAAATACACCAAGCGAAAGAAAATTTAGAATAAATTTTAAATTTTAAAGAGGAACGCCCACAAAAATTTAAAACGACGGCATAAATAAAACCTATTATCTCATCGGGATTATATAAGTACCGTATTCATATCACTTTTAACTTTAGATGAGGCTCAAACCCATAAAGACCCTTAATATCAATTGGTTTAGCAAGCATCTTTCTATCTATACATCGGTTGATTATGGGATTTTGTTACTACAAAAAATTGAAATAGAAATGGAAACAACATATACGGCAGTACATACTCTTCAATTGCCTATGGATTAAGACAAACGCTTCAAAATGTATGTAGAAATGTGATATTTGGTGAAGAGAAGAATTCTTTTCGCTTGATACGCTTTATAAGTATACTATGTCGCTAATATTGTTTACACTTAGTACATCACTAGCATCTGAAAACACATTTTCATGCAGATGTTTGTGCTAAATTTTTTGTATTATGTTTGTAGGGTAGAAAGACTCTTCACTAAATACATCACAACGTACCTGCTGAATATCGTGTTGACTTCAAAGCATATATTCATAGGATTTAGCAACATTTTCGTGGTACTTACCTTATTTGCACAAGCCTGTACGTGCGGTAAGTGCGGATCAGCTGATTTAACCTATTTTCCTATTGATGCTCTAATTAGAAAAGTGCATAGCTTTGACGTCGCAATAAGAAGAAGGAGGGGCTATTAAGAAAAAATTTAGATTTTTTCTGTTCAAAAGAATTTTGTCTTGTAACAGCAACGGACAGATAAACTAAGAATAGGTAAAACTTCTAACAGACATATCGACTTGATAGAAGTAATTCCGTTTTCAGTGCCAATGAGAAATACATATAGTCTGCGTGTTCTCCGGGATGAGCAATACGTGTAACAATTAATCCTCACCGAAGTTTCATGAAAGAGGACGCTTACTGGCAAAGGCTCGTCGAATGAAGTGTATTCTCCATTGTGAGAGCGAAAACAAATGAAATTGTTGTTGTGAATGAGTTGCGAGTAATGAGTTGTCGAAAAAATGGTCCGATCCAAACCATCTCCAATACCGCCCGTCGTTCGATCACTGTACCAAATTTCACCAAATTATCTCACAAATTACGACCTGTGTGGTTCGAACATAAATCTACATAGACAGACATCACACGGACTGACAGGCTTAGATTGATTTAGAAAATGATTCTCAATCGATTGGTGTAATGAATGGGTCGGTGGTGGGTCTGTCTTATACACTTCTGCGATTTATTAATGCCCGCGCAAACATAATACCAAACCCTGTACCATAAAAGGTGTAGGGTGTAATGAAGTGAATGAAAATCGCGTTTCATGAAAACGTGTTTAAGCGTATATAGACGACCTATATGCTAGTTTCGATAAACAACTTACTTTGAAGAAACTCTTTATACGAGCTGGCAAGTCGCGGTAAAAGTTTTTCTTGTAAAGTTTTTTTTCCATTTCTAAAGGAAGATAAAAGAAACGTACGGGGCAGGTTTCTTTACAGCAAAATCTCTGTTTATCTTCTAGTTTTTATCGCAATATCCGAAATATCCGACAACTTATCTTCGTTCCACTGATTTTGTTAATTGGAAAGAAAGAGACAGAGAGAGGGAGAGGTACTTGTTATGTTTTTATATTTTCTTATAGGAAGTAAGAAATAAATGAAATGTTTTGCTAAAAAAGCAACAGTGTGTGCGTGTTACTAAACAACAAACTACTAAGTTGCTCCTACCAACAGCTAACGGAATACTATGGCAACGGCAAAATTCAAAACATATTTCGAAAAAAGTTACTAAAAAATCCTGCATGGCGATGTTAACATTAAATAAAATATTTAAAAAAATCAATTGCAATGAAGTTGAAAACTCATATTTGTAAGAAATCGAGCACTTATGAAAATCGTGAATTTGCTTTCACTCCCACGTCGAGTGCAAGCAAAGAAAAACCTCTTGATAAACCGCAAAAAAACGATAATGAAAAGCTATGGCAAAATTTACCTTTAAGTTGTGTGGATTGGAGTAGTAACGATGAAATATATTTTGTAAGGTAAGTGACGAACTGCTCGACAAAGTAAATTAAAATGTAGCATACATAGTCCATATTAAATTCGTATAGTGATGATCATCAAATATATAAATGGAGCTGTCAAACTCGCGAGTCGGTGGAGGTGGCCAAACTGCCAGACGATTTCATACCCACTGATTTGCATTGGCTGTTGTTAGGCGGACGGGGTAGCGGTGGTGGCAAGGGTAGCGATACTTTGCTTATTTGCAGTAATGATGGACGTTTTGTCATATTGAATAAGAGTGGTCGAGTGGAAAGAAGCATAACGGCTCATGCAGCGGCTATAAGTACAGGTCGCTGGAGTCCCGACGGAGCAGGCTTGCTAACAGGTAATAGATTTGAATGCATAACTCTACTATTCAAAAAATTAAAGTCTAATTATTTGTTATCGTTGCAGCTGGGGAAGATGGCATTATTAAAATTTGGTCACGTTCAGGAATGTTACGTTCCACAGTAGTCCAAAATGATGAACCTATACGATGCGCTTGTTGGTCACCCAATTCAAACTCGATTGCGTTTAGTCAATGCCTGCACATTTCTATAAAACCTTTAGCAGCCAATAGCAAACTCTTAAAAGTAAGTAATACAGTAAATAATTTCTTTCTTCTCTGTTTTTTGTGTGTCCTATTGTCCTATTTTCCTATTGTCTACCTGGCAGTGGCGCGCTCATGAAGGCATGATTTTGTCATTGAGCTGGTCAGCTCAATCGCCAATAATAGCTTCCGGTGGTGAGGATTTTCGCTTTAAAATCTGGGATACGCAGGGATCTAATCTATTTACGAGTTCGATAGAAGAGAATGCCATCACTTCGATTGCTTTTAATCCTGAAAAGGATCTCCTGCTTGTCGGATCTTTCAATATGCTAAAGCTTTGTTCAAACGCGGGTGTAAGCTAATCTAATTTTAATTTTACATCTGAAGAAGCTTTCTTTTACTCTTTTTAAGTGGTCCTATAGCACAAATCGTTTTAATCAACCTATTGTGGGTTCATTTCTTTCACTCTCTTGGTCTGCTGATGGTACTCAAGTATGTTGTGGTACCTCAAATGGTCAGCTAATTGTAGGTCATATAGTTCAAAAGCAGCTGATTGTGCGTAATTTAAAAGCCACTACTGCAGGCCGCAAAGCGTTACTCTTGGAAGACATCACTAATGGCAGTAGCGATGTCTTGGACTTCAGCGAACGGATCATAAATTTTGCTTTAGGTTACGGTCATTTGATTGTAGCGACTTCGAATCAAATCCACATTTATAATGAAAAGTATATAAATACTCCGATAATCGTGGATGGTCGTACCGATACTCGGGCTATAGAAGTGGGTAAAAAGTAGGTTTCAAAATTTTTTTTATTTTTTTCTTTTTTTCTTCTTGTTCACTTTCTTGCACTGTTGGGTGTTTTGGTAGATTTTTTATGGTCTTGGATTCAACTTCCATTTGGATTTATACTTACACTGGACGTTTGCATGTAAATCCCCGTTATCCGGGCTCTCAGGCTCAAATATCGACGCTGAACTGGCGTAATTTGAGTTTGGGTTTAGATACATTAGTGGTACGTGACAATGCCGACAATAAAGGTAGTAAAGAAAATTCAATGTAAATAATTGTTTAAAAATCTTAGTGCATTTTCAATTTTCAAAAGCTTTGCATATTTTTGATCTTATACCTGGAGCAACGAGACAATATGAGCCCTTTACCTTAAAAGCTAAAACACCAATATCCGAAATTGCTGCTTGCCGGGCTGGCAGCGTTGATGATCAGTTCGTTGTATTGATTGACAATAATCGCGAACTATACATAACTGAGACACGTAATCTGAATAGTAGTAATGAACGCTCTGCTCTCATGGGATCAGCTAATGATAACATTAATGGAGAAATTTATAAAATTGGCACCCAAGTTACGACAGTAAAATGGGCCAGTGAATCAAATATATTGGTAGGTGTTCATGATGCTTGTTATAGTGTCTGGTATTGTCCAGGAGAGGGTTCTGCTGATCCCACCATAATAGCATTGACTACTGTGACTATAGACACTACGTAAGTCATTGTTCTTATGAGTTTTGTAAACTTTTGTAAACAAAATCATTTATATTTAGAGAGTTTGGTAAACATATTACTATTGAGTCTTTTGAAGACGCCGTAGTAACTTTTAGATGTTCGGGAGCTCTGCTTGCCGTTAATGTCAATATATATTGCGAAATTTTACATCGATGTTTAATGGAAGGTCAGTGGCAACAGGCTTTACGTATTTGTCGCTCAGCTCAGAATGCCTATCTGTGGGGCACTTTGGCTGCTACAGCCACACGAAAGAATCAATTGCAGATCAGCGAAGAAGCTTATGCAGCAGCTCTGCAAGTTGACAAAGTCACATATTTACAATACATTAAGACTTTGGATCCCTCTAGCCCTGACTACATGGCTGAGAATTCTCTAATGCTGGGGCGTCTGCTTGAAGCCGAGACAATATTAATCCATAACGGAAAATACCGTGAAGCAGTCTCTCTTTGCTTGCGTATGCATAATTGGCGCAAAGCATTGGAAATATCGCAGAAATATGATACGACACTTCTGCACACAGTTCTCGATCAAAGGAATAAATATTTAAAAGCTTTAAGCAGGGACGAATGGGACAAACAGTTTTTAAATTTAATGACAAATGAAATCGAAACGATATGAACTGTGAATAGAAGAGTGAGCATATAGTTCTTCGGTGCTCAATAAACTTTATAAATCTTCATGGTAGTTAAATAATAATTTTTTGTTCAATATTAAAGAACCAAGTGAGCGCAACAAAAGGAGCAGAGAGTGAGCAGAGTGAAAGTGGCCTTTCTGATCTCACTCATTATATATTAAAAGACTCGATTATGTTCTTGAATTGATCTAACATAACTTCGCTAATTTATACTTCTTCATAATGTTATAACAATAAATTATAAAATTTAAATTTATTTTCATTTGGCAATGCCTTCATTTTAATATTAACAGCTTGTGATTAGCTTTCGACGAAAAAGAGCTTTACGCTTACTGTTAAAATTAAAAGCTTTTATTGACAGAAGTTTTTCAACACTAAGAATGTTATTGCAAGTGTTTTATTAACATTCCCGGTCGTAAATGTTACAGATTTCATTTTCATTGCGAGAGCGAAAATGACGTAATTGCTAGAGCATTCAAATTTTAAAGACTTTTACTCCATGTAAGCTCAAAATAGTAAAAATAATTAATTGAAAAATTTCATCTATCTTGGTTTTTGAACATTACAGCATTCATGTTATAGATAATCATTCATTCTCTAAGTAACTTTACAAAATATATCTAATCAAATTTCGTATAACTTCAACATCATGTAATTTTGAAAATATATTCTATCTACTTTTGCAACTCAATGAAGCCTTTCATCGCGGTAAAAAGTCAATTTTTTCAAAACCTTATGAACAATCACGAACTACTCATCACTTGTATACACTTCCTTTTCTTGCTTTTCAAGTAATTTATTATTATTATCACCATTTTGATATATATATAGAGATCGAATGAATAACATCTCCATCTTGCTTTTTAAAAATGATAGACTACATGATTGGTCTAGTGTTTCTAATGGAGATAAACATTTTAGTGATGTTAACTTCTCCAGGTACAGATACTCCGAATACGACTGCAATTGCAAATTGGAGTAGTAGACTTCGTATTCCATGCATCGGGCTGGTAAGTCTGCTTGCTTGGGACTCGGCATCCAAAAAAACTTTAATTTGATGTCACTAAGCAGCAATGGCATTCATTAGTTTGCTAAAAGTGTTCCGTGCGGAATTTAAGGGAAATTCGATTTACTTTTATGATTGACATATCATCTGCTGTCTAAGGCTTTTCAAGCAAGCATTGTGGCTTAAGGCAGAGCTCCAGTCTCGGCTAGAAATGTTGAAGCATTTTCGGGTAGGATATAATTAATCTGGACCTCACCTGTGCCACCCACTGCCGCATGGGCCAGGAACTCTTTTCAACAATTAATTTGTAAAAAAAGTAAAAACAATAATTTTTGTTTCTATTTGTTCCAAAGAGGATTTTTAAGCTAAAATAAGCATTGTATCATAGGCTGGTATAATAATATGAGTGGAAAATAAATAATTAATTATAAAATTATATAATAACTCATCTAGGAATGTTTCTTAGAGAAACTAAAAACAAAAAAAAATTTATCACATATTAAAACTAATATAAGAAATTTCAAATAATTTTCTATAACGCAAAAGAGTCTGAGAATATTTTCTGGGAATTAATATATATTTAGCTTATAATTTTTAAAATTTTTTTTTTTTTCTTCGCAAAATAGTTCCGATAAAATATTTCCTTATAAGAAAATAAAATGAAAAAAAAACTTGATTAAGTCTCTTTAAAACAACATTCCTAAAAAACATTTTAATATTTTAATTTGCAATTTTATGATAAGGATGCTGCTAAATACCGTTAAAGTCATTAAAATAAGCAAAGTAGAGAAAGAAGGTTCATGGCGAAAACAAATAAAAAGTCAAATAAATATACAAGTCTGCGGCTTTGTTTAACCTATTTTTTGATTCAAGGCATTTTATAATAGGTCTTATTATTTCATAATAGGATGCCATGAGCCATTAGCACTATTTCAATATATAATACAACAGCATCACAAACTCGCAATATAATTGTATACTTGCACAAACGTTCTAGGAATTGTAATGGCGGTTTCTTTCATCTCTTTGCGAAGTAAGTATTAAGGATTATTTATGGGTAAACCTTTTGCGGATTATGATAGACAGGCTGAAGTTGGCATATGAATTCGTTAAAATGCGGCTTAGACAGTGAAAACTGTGTTAGCGCAAAAGCAGTCTGCTCGGCAATAAAGTTAGTTTATAAATAAAAAACAAAAAAAAACAACGAGCTGGACACATATTAAGGTCCCAGGCAAAGAGCTTTGTGCTCATATTGAGCCTTTTTCTTACAACGCGCCAATTCACTCGCTGAATATTCAAGAGGAAGGAGAAGAAGAAGAGGAAGCAGAGCAATAATACTCATCTATAAGTTTCGTATGAAGTTTTTTTCATTTTTCTAGCAAACATTTCCAGATGCAGCTAATTTAGATTATTGGGATGTTATGGTTACAGTAAGCAAAATACCGAGGTAAAGACCGAATAATAATCTTAGTTGATAGTGGAAAAATTATCAAGGAGTAATACAATTTTTTGCCATAAAACTAATTGCAAGCCCAGAGCAGGCTTCGCAATAAGCTTATGCTTTCGGCAATGTTCACCATAGTTTACTGGGCAAAAACAAGTTGTATAGACTTTATATATCACTTTTATCAGATGAATGCAATAATGAAACTACGAAACAAATACGCTGAGTATAGGGCAAAGGCTGCTCTAAATTTTTTAGAAAAATATTCTTTTTCTTATTCTCTTAAGAAGTAACATTGCTGTAAGCAAGTCGTCAAGTTTTTCCCTTAACAGATACCTAGACCCTTTTAAAATATGGGAACACAATGCATTATGCGAAAAGAATTCTTTCCTTGAAATTTCCGATTTTTTCCCGAAGCCCTCCGAAAGGACCACCTGCGCCATATGAATACTTGCGGAGATGTTACAGCCTAAGGTCCTACCTATTGATTCCTTGCTTCTTTAATCCTCTAGCAAGCATGTTTAGAGTAAACATAAAATATTTCGTTTTATTCAAAAATATATATAGAGAAACTTGTTTTCAAAATTTTTATACAGTGACTTGAAGTAAGAGTCATCGCTAGGGGAATGTAACCTTTTTAAGTATAATTATTTATAATTTTTTCTATTTTTTCCGTACATTAATTGTGCTTGACTGATGCAATTAAAATCGAATATCCGATTTTCAGACCTATTTCCAGGAAACGATATCAGATATTGTTCTGCAAGGTATTGTCAAACTTCACAATGAACGATTGCTTCTAACTTAATTTTTAACCCTCAAATGCAGGTATTATATTTTATTATTGTGTATTATATTATTGTTATTTATTGGTGCAATTTGTTAACAGCAAATGCAACAGTTACGTGTCTTTACACGTAAATGCAAATTTACTGAGATGGAAGAATTCAAAGCACTTTGTGCTTTTACATGTACACGAAAAGTAAAAACACAATCTTGAGCCAAAGCTCGCCATTAAATACCCTACACCAGTTCGCGTGATAACTTTTCATAATATAGGAACTGATCCGATCTGAATCACTTTCAATAACAGTTTCGTTCTTAAGACGAAACTTATTAACGCATCAAATTTCATCAAAGTATCTCCGGCCTGCACAAGAAAAATAGTTAAACATACGGACAAATGAGCTCAGAATCGGTATTATAAAATCACTATCTATTCCAATTTCTTCAGGATTTTACATACATTTGCACGGAATTAATATACCCTTGTGCCACAAGTGATGAAGAGTATAATGAAATATGAATTTCTAAATAAAAAGTTGAGAAAATATGACATCAAACATTTTTCTATCTTCACAACGTGTATTCCATTAGTTTTCTAGGTCTTTTCAGCACGAGGTAAAGTATTGATTGTATTGATGTTTTCATGTAATAAACTCGTATATCAAGCGGGATGAGTTTTTTTTTTTTTTTTTAATTCCAACATTCCAATGTAATGGCGGTGATAAAAATCGACTCTCTTTTGAAATGGAAACCTGTCTCTATTTAATTTAATCGCAGCAGGACAAATTTGGTAGTTTCTTTATATTTACCATAATTTATTAATATGAAGACGAAGTTGTGATAATATTTATTAAGATGTACAACGGGCGCAATGGTGCAATTTCATCAACGCGAAAACATTTAGTTCAAAAGTTCAAAATTTACATTTATTGCATACTTTTTTTTTTTTTGTTTGCAGTTCATTTACTTCACTTCGATAACAGTCTCTTAGAAGAATAGAAATTTTTTATTTTAGTTACAAGTCAATCTAAATTGTCGTGTCTTGCCATGACATGATTGATTTGTTTTAGCATTGTAAGCTGCTCTAGTAATCGTTTAACTTGCAATGAAAACCACGTTTTTTATTACAATATTTCAACTAATTTATCATAAATTCTTCAAGCCAAGTAAATTGCTTTAGTAAAAACGATTGTTTGATGTAATGTTTAGAAAACCGGTATTTTTGCTGCATTAATTCAATTGTATTTTTTTTATATTCCTGTGAAGTAGCTCATTACATATATATATATATATATATGAATGTATATCTCCCCTTATAATTGTATTGAAAAAAAAATATATATTTTTTTTCTTTTTAATAAGCTGGCGAGAACATAGGTTCACCCGCCAGACCCCTTAAAATGTTGTGAGCAGCAACAATGGCCATGTCGGTGCGCGTACGTTTGGTAGCTGAACCAATATGCGGCGTAATGACTTTTATGTTATAAAAGAAAAAGGAAAGAAACTTGATTTCATTTACTTGAATAATAATTTAAAAAAAAAAACAAAAAAAAGAAAAATTTCCATAACTTCAAAGTCAACCACAAATGCTTGATAAAAGCAAAGATTGAAAGATTTACTTACCAATGTTGGGTAGTGTGAGTAAAGGATCATCGGCAGGTAAAGGTTCAGAATCCACAACATCGATTCCAGCAGCAAATATCTGTTGAGTCTTTAAAGCTGTATACAAATCCTTTTGGTTAACAATGGCTGAAGAGTAAGAAGAAAAAGTTAATTAAATTTCATTTGATTTTTTTAAAAATTAAACCGCAAAAGCGAACTTACGCCCTCGGGCAATGTTAACTAATACTGCCGTCGGTTTCATTTGCTGGAAGGCGGTAGAGTTGAAAGCTCCTTGAGTCTCGGGCGTTAAAGGGGCTGCTATAAATATAATATCGCTTTTCTCTACTAATTCTGTGAAAGGAACTTTCTTAGCGTTGAATTGCTTTTCCTTATCCTCGCCTATAGCATGACGCGTGGTATACAATATGCCAGCAATATCGAAACCTTGTAAACGTTGAGCTATTGTTTGCCCGATATTGCCGAAACCGTAGAAACCCACGGTCGCATTACGTATATCCTGACCCCACATCCAATTGATATGATAGTTCTCCCACGTAGACCTAACAAGTGAAGTTTCTTTAGCCTTCGTTGATATTAACAAAAAACAAAAAAGAAGCAAATTTACACTCACGTTTCGATCTTGCGGCGTCCTTCTTGCAAACGTCTGGCGGCCGCTAGCATAAGACCCATAGCTAAATCGGCCACTGCCGCACTTAGTACTATCGGGGTATGACCCAAAGGAATTTTGTGACTTTTCAAGAGTTCCACATCCACATAATCAATACCAGCCGACATAGTAGTGATTGCTTTCAATTGTGGCCCTGCAGCCTTTAACACTTGATCATTTAAAGGTTCATGAGAACCCCATAGGAATGCATGTACGCCTTTAGCTTTTTCCAAGATCTCAGTACGATTTGGCGGCAAACTTTCGCATACAATTACCTCAGTTACCTGGCTCAAAAGATCTAAAGCCTCTTTCGGCACCTCGGGATGAGTAACTAAGACTTTATAAGACTGTTTCGGTTCTTCTTGCCTTTCTTTGCTTTGTTGCTCGATATCGGCCATTTTATCTCTTCGTCCCGAACGTGCAGCCCCATTGTGATAAAAATTTAGAATAACACAAAAAATGAAAAAATAAAACTTGAGATTACACATGTTTCGCGAAACAAAGACAACTTTTTAAACCAAATTTCGCGAAAAACTATTGCCGCAGAATCAATAAGTTTTGTAAGTTCTGTGTCTTTACAAGAACTGTTTAATAGTTCTTTAAACGATGGTCTATTTAAATTGTAACACATTTGTGGTATTAAAAAAAAAAAACACAGATTTTGCTTTATTTTTCTTCACATGGGATTTCATAGAACTCTTTATCTGTCTTACTCTCAGAAATACTTACTCTCTAAAAAAGCTCTTAAAGTAAATCAACGCTTGCCCCCGATACGAAAACCACGCACGAACTTCTGCTAATACGAGAGGTTGACAGTTTACTGAAAGCATTCGCTGTTTTGCAGGCAACATTATCAGCCGCCTTTGACTTAAATTGCAGTTATCTCTTCAAATCTGACGGCTGTACTCTTACTTACTTACTTACTTACTTCTCTAAAGCACAGTGAGCACTAAGGTTTTTTGTGCAATTAAGTAAAAATAATTACAGTAGTATCAGCGTAAAATCGCTTATAAGTAATCTAAACTAAATGAAGTCTAAAAATAGATGCAGCGATAGTCAGTCCCGAAGGTCTTTATAACTGAGCGAACACAGATATTATTATTATTATTATTATTATTATTAATTTAGTAAGAGAAATAAATTCCAAGACTAAAGTCTTAAAGCATTAGCATCTAGGGCTGTCGGCTACCGCACTTGAGATTTGAATACACGACCATTGAGTTCGTTCGTTGTCGAGATTCTTTGCTTTCGGTCACTCAGACGGCTAATAAATTATTATTTCTTGTACCCGCTATACAGAGTTTATTAGGCTTTTGAAGCCAAGGAAAACTTATTGAATTATTAGTCGACCTGGGCGGTGTATATATCTGTTGAAATTTCAGCCAACAGTAGTTAAGTATTAGAATAGAATATAAAATAGTAGAATAGTAAATTCCTTACGAGTTCTAAGCAATGAATGCGTTATGGTTCTCCAAATGTTAAATGCCATGCAGACGGGTAGCACGCGAACGCAAAAAAATGGACGATAAAGCTGAATATCTATGTCGGTCCTATTTGGATGGTTAGCTGGACGTGCTGTAGTATAGTTTGTCCCGATGGAAATAAAATAAAACGAAATGAATACAGCAATGTAAGCAGTGCTGTCAATAATAATCGATGCAATTGCGACGAAAACCGAGCGCGATATGCCAAAAATCATAATACCGTGAGTTTTAGTTTAAAAAATTCGGTCCTATATAGCAGAACTATGTCAGAGAATGTTCGCAGTTCAAAACTGAAATGTCCTGTGCGCTGTTTTCAGCAAACGTTATTTGTTCCGTTTAGCAAGGTTGCAATAAACGTCTTATTACCTTGCCCTCCGTGCTGTTATTAGTCGGCGTTCCTTGTTTCTTGTTCCTCTTGACACGTTTTCAATAGATGACTTGTCATCCTGCTATTAGCAGACGTCACTTCTCCCGTTTAACGGAGTTTCAATAAATATCTTATTACCCTAACCTCCGCACTGTTATTAGCCGACGTTCCTTGTTCCTCTTGCCACGTTTTCAATAGATAACGAATTGCTTGCTCGAAAGATTCTTCCATTTTCATAACGATACCCATGTACGTGTGACTTCCTGGGAAGCCTCAAAGAACAATTTGTTTTTTCCGTATGATAGTCCTATTATTCTTTAAACGTAGAGTAGATAAAGTTTTTTGAGAAAATTTTTTTAATAATGTTAGTTAAATTAGTCGCGGAAAAGTTTTAAGCTGCAAAGCCAACGTTTGCCACTAGTATGGTTTGCTTAAGATGCAATTTTTAAATTTCATATGTTGTTTTAGGTGAAATGTACAATTTAAGCAAAATTCAATTTGCACCTCTGGTAATTATGAAACATTACTTCCTAAGTCATTTCCCATTTCACTAAGAAACCTGCTGTTGAGAAAACAAAACAAAACAAAAGGTTTTACTTTTTGTGACTGCATAAGACTTCTGTCATTTCCTACTTTCATACAAAACACAGAGTTAAAAATGTGAGAATTTATTTTTATTTTGTTATTTTTAGCAATTGTTTTTTTGCTTTTTTTCTTCCTCTTATTTTTAAGTCCGCACAAAGTATTGTTTCCGTCCTCGCAAATGCATTTCACTGCAGTTGACTTGAATTTTTTGAAAGTCTTCTACTTGAATGATATGAGAGCCTAATAAAAATACCAGTTGGAGATTTCCCAAAAGATTCTTTAACTGTGCACTGTATGTAGCTAACACCTTCCTTCTCAAAAGATTTCTTTCTCTTTTAAGTTTCTTGAAAGCAAACTTGAAAATTTCAACTTGAAAATTTGATAATAACCCATAGATAGTAAGTTAGTTGGTTTGATTTTGAAACGAGATTTACGTTAAAAGTAATCGCTTCCTTTACATTTGAAAATAATGCGAAACCGATGCGTGTGTTGAGTGCTTTGCTATTCTGCTCATTTCATTTAACTTGCCACAACTTAATGAATGGTCTGATTGGTCATATGCTTTCCCAGTATACGAAAGTATGCGAAGCGAGCATTAAGCTCACAAATGTTTATTTAACTACAAACATTCTGTGGAGGCTTTTTTCGCGAACGTATGGATGAAATATTCTATGTTGCTTGTTCTTCTTTACGTAGCGTGATAATGGCAACGTTCTGGTTGCTGGCGTAGCTTTATTAAATATAAATCGGACACAATGTAGCGATTGCGCGGGTTAGCTTTCATTCTAGTTAGACAACTAACTACTCGAGAAAAAACAAGTAAGAAAATTATATTCGATCGTGACCGATTCTTTTATACCCATCACCTTTATCATAAAAAAGGCAAAAAAAGTAAAAGCACTAAATTTTCATCCTCTATAGGCATACGGCTTGGGTGCGATTGATTTTTTCTGTTTTCAACATAAAAGTTTCTGTCGCAAAGACGTGTGCGTGTTGTAGGCGTGCCCTTGGCGTGCATACGTTGCAACCGCGGAATGTTTACCACATATATAACACTGTTGCGCAGACTGACAGATGCGCAGACGCACAGAGCGACATGTTTCCATTGCATTCCTTTATGGGGTTTTTGAATCTCGTTTCTGCGCCTTTTAAGAGTATTGAAAACATAAATTGTTTTGGTACACTATAGCATAGGGTGAGTCCACCGCATCACCACTCGGTGAAAAGTTTATATCGCAAGATTTGTAATAATTAATTAATTAATTATTTTCAGTGTGCTTAATATAAAATTCGAGAAGAGAGACAGACTAATGGCAAGTAACGATATAAAATGTTTTTTATAAAATTGCTGGGGAATTGAAAGAAATTCTGAAAGGTGCTGCCCAAGAAGTGCCGCAATTTTTGAATGAATAATTTATTGCATATTTAAATTTAATATAATGAATTTACTGTATTTTTTATGAATTTTAAATATTTTTTAATTTGCTCTATTTTTAACATTCAAAAGTTAATTTAACTTTGGGCTTACAATGACGCGACAGTTTGGACAGTTGTGAAATAGACGTGGTCAATTTTTTCAATTTTTGTGCAGGTGCTACAGCATCGCCCATAGAATATGCGCACAAGAATATTTGGTACACTTGTCTACTATATTAATGAGCAAAAAATCAACTTTTTATTCCTTTTGAAGAACAGAGATGTTCTCAGTTTACGTGGTGCGGTGGGCGTCTCTTTCGCCCGACTTGGTTCATTTTCAATACCAACCTGCGTGCAAGAACTTCCAATGACTCTGCTAAATTTGAAGCCGATGACTTTATTTTTGCGGGCAGTAGAATGTTTACAGCAAGCACACGCACGGACAGACGAACATGCTTAAATCAATTTAGAATTTGATGTTGATCCCGAATATATATATATATGTTGTGGAGAATCTGACGCTTCCTTCTGGGCGTTGCGAACCTTTTGACAAAATGACTGTACCCCACATCCTCTGCTAATGAATATAATATAGTGAGCTAGATTGAAAGTGAAACAATGAATTTCAGCATCTTAAAGCCAGCAAATATACGCGACGAATACTTGAGCATATAACACATTATTAGGGTATAAGACTGGTTCTCTAAAATATGTCGATATATTAACACAAAAAAACTGTTCTTTATAGTAACTTTACCGTTACAATGTCTGCCTCGAATATTCTTTAATAGCGAGCAATAAGTGGTACGAATAAGAGAAATAAGCCAATGTCTCTATCGACCAAAGCATACACAACGACTTCACCGTACTTATCGGCTCTATACAATAAGCTCTATAGCAAGTTCTGTAGCAAGGATTAATCTACAATTTTAGCTAAGACAAGTATAGGAAATATTTGTAATAAAACTCCTGTCTTTCGGGAAAAATTCGCGTCGAGCGCTACGAAAAACCGAATACAATGGTTTTTCTAAAAGTATTTTTGCATCATTTCCTAAAGCAACTGATATATAAATTAATTCGAAAACCATCGTATGTGACTGTAGATTGTATTTTTGGGAGCTTCAAAAGTGAGATGTCCATCAAGCGTTTCGCGCTCAATGAGGATAGATTGCTATTTTGAATTACCTGGTAAACGGTATTATTGAAATGAATAATTGTGGGAATTGTGGGCATATTTCAGTTTAAATCAAGTTAAAGTATTCATCTAACGATTTTCCATAGGAACCCTTACATAGGAAGGGTTCGTTGTACGACCAGAAAAGTTTGTTGTACGACCAGAGAATTCGTTGTACGACCAGAAAAGCTTGTTGTACGACCAGAGAATTCGTTGTACGACCAGAGAATTAATAGAGAGCTTTTTGATTTGTATTCGTTAACTTGTGGTCATAATCCAGTTTAGTTAAATTCGAATTAAATTCTGATAAGCATTTTTTAAAGCTTTATATGTAAGTGCGCGAATTATTAATGTAGTTTACATTACGTTCAATATATCACTCAAGATTTGATTTTCATATTTGCTTTCTTTTCGCATCTTGTCTTATTATATTTTCTATAGTGTTTGTATTCTTGATGAGCGTAGAATTCTAAATTGACGCCCGTTGCCGGTCGGATGGGAAATAGAAAGATCATCCACATATTTATGACAGTTGATGATTTAAAAGCCGAATGTTTTCAGGCCGGCTGATATAGCTATTATAGAGGATGATCTCAACTTGGAGGAATTAATGAAACAGAAAGCTCTTCTTCAAGCTCGATTAGGTGCTTACATGTCTGATACTGAAGGTGATGACAGTCGTTCGCAGCGTGAAATGGAACATACTCTACCTGTGAAATGTACTGAAAGTAGTGTAAGCAACAAATACAGCAAGCGTAACGAACATACCACCACTGCAAATAGTAAACATAATTTAAATAGAATTTCTAAAGATAATGAATCCGATGTTATATTATTGGATGATTCTAGCGGTGATCGTTGCACACCGGAACGATTTGACAGACAGCAGAACACGGTAAGGCAAATGGACGAAAGTGGCGAGAAGAGAACAGCTCATGAGACATCACCGTTGTATGTAGATAGACTAACAGATCGACAGATTCCGATAGTCATCATCGTAGCTCATATACAGAACGGCAGGACATGGAACGGCGCGAAATCGAGGGAATAGGGATTCGTTGTTGCGTTATCATTGCAACATACGCTGTAGCTAATTAAAAATTGACCGCAAAGCGCTTTGGCTCCATTTAAGTTCGCTTTGGTGTTGCAAAGTCGCTGCTGTGACATCTGGTGTACCAGGCGAAATTTTTGTATGATATTGGTTTGGATGATATGCCAACACCACATTATCTACATAATCGACATTTAATATGGACATCAGAGCATTTGCCGCATGCTTAACACACTCTTTGGAATTTTTATTCATAAACAGTTTCACTCCAATACTTATTTCATTTCGGGCATTTTCCGTAATTTTTTGTTTCAATTCTGCATTAGCACGCAACACTTGTCCATGGCTTTCGCGAAACTCGATTTGATCATCAATTGCTAGTCGAGATTCCTCGCCTTCGGCTACTCAGGCGGATTATTATTATTATTATTAATTTAGTAAGAGAAATAAATTCCAAGACTAAAGCATCTAGGGCTGCCGGCTACCGCAAAGAGGTGAGGGATTGGCAATTTTAATTATGTTGCCAAAGATTTGATCATTATTGACATTATACTCAAACCTGGTTTTGTGCGGTGAAACGCACAAACAAAGGCCGCGTTTATGTCGTCCCTATTCACCGCACAAAACAGGTCTGCGTGAGGCTATAAAAACTAATTTTCACAACACAATTAAAATGTTTTTTTTTTTTATGCGGTGAATGAGGACCGCATAAACGCATAAAATAAGAGCGCATAAAAACAGGTTTGAGCGTATGGATTTTGTGCAGGCAAAGTTTTATAGAAGAAGAAAGAATTTATATAAAGAAAAATATTTAAATATTTAAATCCATAAGTTTACATAGTTTACATACTTATATTGTAATAAGATAATTAAGTTTTTACATGTAAGTAAAAGCTTGTTTAAGTAGAAAACGATACATTCACGATACAACCTGATACGCAAAATCTTACAATCAAAATAATGGAATTAAAAGTTCAATGCTGTTATTTTATAATAATATCATAAATAATAAAATAAGAGCAAATTTCTACATTAAAAATTAAGAAAAATATTTGTCTTTAAAAAAAGATCGCAAGGAGTTGGGCAGATAAGAAAAAGATTCAAAAGATGTTATGTTTCGTAGAAATGGTTTAATGCCACTAGGAGCCCTATTGTAGTGCTTGATAAACATTCTTAAATTCTGAAAACCGTCCTGAAAAGTTAGATCTATTTCTAGTCCTTCATGACATATCCGTATCATCTTAATACAACTTTACTAGAAGTTGCGTAAGGTATAAAAAGATTATGTTGCCATAAAAATTGTTTTCCTTTTCCTTGCAGCTTTACTTATAAATCGCAGCTATAAGCGGGTGTGCAAATGTTGTGATGAGAACTACGATAAGGCATCATCTCAGTAAATTCTTTTTCATATACAAAAATGGGTTGCAAGTATTACTATCACTTTGCAGTTAGCGAAATGCTAGGCAATCTAATCAATTTATTTGAATAAGTGCCCAAGTTGCACATGCTTTGAATTGAAGCTTGCTTAAGTCAACCCAACATTAATTAGTGAGTATTACACGATGTCTTTTAAATTGTGATCAAGTCGTGGGATCGATTGAAACACTTTTTATATAAAACTCATTACTGACTGCGTTACTGACTGAGCTATGGGCTAAAGCTCTAAACACGCATTTATTTGTAACAATTACTTTAGTTCTTGGTTAAGTTTTGTAATTTAAACCCTTTCGATTGCCTTTGTTTACGAGATTCCCACACCGAGTTTTTCGCCGTTTTCGCTATATGAGGCGGAGGTGTCTGTGTCTGGTTCGTAACGTTTTTAATAGGGGAACAGCATTTGCAATCGAATTGGTATTTGGTCTAAGTCCAGCTAAGCAGTAATCAAAGTTATTTGAAAGCAGCTGTTGCTACGCCTACACTTTTCTTTTTTACGATAAGCTTCATTGAAGAAGATTTAAAAAGAAAAACAAAAAGGTTTGAAAAGAATTCTTCAAACGCCTCATACCGGACCAATATGTATTGCAATTATTTTCTTAATTTTGGGGACTCAGAATTATTCGATTTGACTGCTATGAATATTTTTATCAACTTATAGGTCAATACACGATTTGAACACGCAGATGAATTTGATGGCCTACTGCGAGAGAATCACGCAAATTTTAAATAGTGATCTGCAATCATCATCTGCGAATATATGTCGAATTTCTCTTTTTGTCTCAGCTTTCGACACAGCAGCGGCGGATGACAGCTGAACAAACAAATATTCAGATTATCGAGACGATGGATGGATGTAAATCTGATGGATACAACGAGTATAGGCAACGAATTTAGGTTTTTCTAATACTTTCATTCTTTCCTTTCCCTTCCTTCAATATATACCACAATAACTGCATCAATATATATGTGCACACAACATCAAAAATTGCAATAATCAATTTTTATTATGTCTTTGTGAGCAAAATAATAATATATATCGCTTAACCCTATGTCAGAAAACGCACCAGAAGAGAGAAGAGGTAGCAGACATCTCGTAGTTGTAAATTTTCTAGGAAATCTGAACCATCTCCCCAAAAGAAGAGTACAGCATCTCTTATATAAGTTTATAGAAATTAATTCAAACAAAAAATATATATTGATAAAAAAATAAATAAATAAACATTTTTATCATAAGCCCACTAGAGCTTTTATAAATTTTATTTGCTATCACTCATCCTAAGAGTCAAACTTCATATGATTTAAGCATCGAGTTCAACGCAACGGCATGAAAATTCATATCCGAAAATACGTGCATAACGACACATTGGATGTGTATGTTTTACTGTTTGACAGGAAAGTGATATAGAAAGACAATCAAGGCAACAGTAAAATTTCGTTATGGTAAAGAGTAATCAACGTCATAGTCATTGGGAAAAAGGGAAAATTTGTTACAATGTGGGCTTGAAGTTGAAAAATTTTCATACAAATTATCAACAGTTTGGTAACTAACAGGAAATATAGTCGTTTTATGGAAGACTGGTATCAGCTGCAGCAGCAAGCGGTAAGTGTTGGTGCTGTCACTGCTAAGTAAAATAAAAACGATTTTCACAGAGAGCATACATATGTACATGTTAAAAACCACACAATACGCGCTAACAACACCATCACCAACACTTACACAAATGGAAGCAGCGACCGACAAACACGACCATTTTTGTGTAATATGCCTGTAAATGCATGAAGTTGTGGAAAATAAAAGAACATAAATAGCATTGAATATAAAATAAATATGTGTGCAATTCTTTATATAAGTACGTGGTAGAAGTGTGTGCATATGCGCCTACGTATGTATGGATGATATGGTGACTACATTAAGTAATATGGGGGAAAGTAAAATGAGGATTTTTACAATGGCAACAACAACAAGAAGAAGCGAAAGAGAAAATTTTACAACGGCAGAAGAACAAGAAAACGAACTAAAATTTATGAACTCCTATTAACAAAACACGATGCGTCATTTTGACTGACGTAATTCAGACACATGTCAATCGTCGTTAAGGCAATCGTTGGTAATTATTACGTTATTTTTTCCATATCATTAACAATTAGAAAGGGCCAGCGCAAGCAGCCGGTGGTGTCAGTCAGTGGTGGCGTGGCGTTAAACAAAGTACAACACATTTTATTATGTCTTATGGTCATTGACTGTAAACATTCCGGCGTTGTATGTCGTCACGAGCGTGCCAAACCAATCAACTCTAAAATAAATAAATCATGAAATTGAAGCAAAATGAAAACGAAAAACACCAAATGCTTATACACAATATGGCACCGAAAGGCAAACAAGTGTCAAAGTGAAGAAAGAAAAAAGAAAACGAAAATTTGTTAGACATAAAGAAAGTGTTGGCAACACTTGACTTTTGTACTGTTACAAATCCATCTAACTTCACTTCAAAAAATATACAAAATATACAACAAAAATGAACATTGCCTCTCCTCTGACTTAAAGAGGAGACCGCATAGTCACTTGTTATCGCTCCTTTTTCGGTATATGCATGCCCGTACAGTGCATGTAATCCGTAACAGAAATCCCTGACCTAAGATCAGCACGACCGTTTTCTTTTGTTTGTTGAGGCGAACAAGTGCTCAGTATTTGAAATCGCCTAAATGCACACTTGACACTTTCATACTCCCCTCGTCTCATCGTTGCTACTTTTTTTTTTCTCTTCTACTTCTCTAACCGATAACCGATGATTTTCAGTTTTAACTTTTGTTAAGCCATTGCATGCAACGCTTAGGAAACATATAAAGTTATTTTTTGTTGTACTATTTGTCTTTGCCTTCTTTTTTGGTTTTTTTTTGTTTTTTGCTTGTTTTTAAGTCATAGGCTTTGTAAATAAACGCTTGTGCTGTATGTGCTTTGCTTACTAGAGAAAGTTAGTATATATTGTGTTCAACTTTCAAACGCTGTTATACTGGTATTTATCATCATGCGATGTATGATGACTTTTACATCAACCGATGCTGGGTGTGATGTTAATTAAAAGTTAAATGCTTTTCAGCAGAAAAGATTAGTTCTCTTAAAAGTTTACCTAAATTGTATTTCATTTAAGAAGAAAAATTCCCCTAAATGTTAACATTTTGATTTTATATTTCCAACACAGTGCCTTATATCCTGAGAGCTTCGTAACTTTTTCCAACAGTTTAAAAATGGTTGCAATACGCAAACATTTAATCTCACTCGTTCGCATATCAAATTTCCTCTTCTTCTCCCCGCTTTGTGCGGTTTGTTCTCTAACCTTATGCCTCATTACAACTATGATGTGTACTTACTTGTACTTATACAGAAGAAGAAAAAAAATATATATACGATTTTTGCTCGTCCTCAGCAATTCTTACTTACTTACTACACACTGTGATGCTGTTATCCTCGTAAGTCTGTAAGCAAAATTTAAAAATGGCTTCCATCGGTTGCTTTTTCTTTCATCAATGTAACAAAACGTTGGCCGAACCTACACATAAACAAAAACCTCACTCATTATATAATATGTTCTCATACCCACCA